TTTCGCCCCATGTCTCGTGCACCTGTATCCCTACATGCCGACAACTTGGACGAGGGACTTCTCAGGGAGAGCCTTGCTGAGTGACCCTGCTCGGTAATTAATGCCCCGCCAAAGCAACGAACATAGCCTCGTACATAACTCATCTTCGCTCCTTAGATTCGTTCTATTTGAGCATGACTCAGTTGCCTTTGAGCAGCAGCACGTTTTCTGACTGATCAATTTTTTTTCCTGTGGGCCGTTCCATCTTTCTCGAAACAGTATTCGGCCTGCTGTCCATCGCTCGAGCTCTTCTCTTATTTGATTTGATAGACATGATACCCAGGATGTTAGACTTATTACATACAGAACAGCACTGGCTTTTTATAGAAACAGCTATTATTCGCAGATCACACTCTCGAGTCAAGATTTTATGTTTGAAGACAGATTTACTATCAACAATGTGAGACCATGATTGATTTACCTTAAGTAGAGGAAGAGGTCGAACGTCGAAGTAAGCGGGTAGATCGGTAAGTGAGCTGGTAGTGATATACTTGATTCCTGTGGACTCGACGTCAATTCCTCTTCTCGTTCACCGAGAAGGAATTCAAGTTAAATTGTCGGTCTTGTGATTCGATATATATGGATTGGGATAGCCGTGGAATGATAGAAGCCCTTCTGCTCTGCCTCGGGAGGTGATGTGAAGGGGATCTGCTCGACCGTGAACTCTTGAGCTTCTGCAAGAGGATCAGTCGTTGGTACTGGACAGAGGAGCGCATCATCTGAGTGCACTACGGAAAGCGGGGGGGGAGGGGGGGGGAGACAAAGGAAGTTCTACGCACCACAAGCTCTCAAAAATGTCCGGAAAGTATCCTCGTTTCGTAAAGTGGCGGAGATGATGAATTGCTGCAGACCATAGTTGGTGAAGAGGTCCTGGATGGTCGCGACAAGGAGGGGGACAAGGTCAACATCGTAGATCTAGGTAAGAGGTTTCCGGGAGTCAGTTGCGTTCCAGGTAGCTAGCGATGGTGGATTCTCTGGAAGAAACGTCCCAAACGAAAAAAAGGACATACCAAATCCGCTCCTAACGCGACATCAAACTTACAACCCTTCGCTTCACCCAATGCGCCATCTCCCACTCCTCCCGAGGAACCACCACGACCATTACCTAGCCCGGGAATATCCAATGGAGTCCCCCACTCCCAGATCTCCGCCGCGAACCGTTTAGCCGGGGTGGTGGTGGTGGTGTTGTTGTTGTTGTCGCCGTCCCCGTCGCTTATCAGCTTATTCCGCCCCGCACAATCCTGGATCTGCTCGATCAAGGCGATCTCGCGATCAGTCACGACCACGGACCGGGGCTGGAGGTGTTGCGCGCAGAACATCCCCAGAAACCCTGTGCCCGCGCCCAGCTCGATCACCCGTTTCCCGGCGATCCAGGCGTGGGCGGCGCTGGGGTTCGTCGCGAGATAGGTCCCAAGGTGGAGGGCGGCTTCCCACGTGCGGAAGCCGGTGGTACCCGCGGAGAGGATCAGGCCGCGGGATTCGGAGGTGATGGTGGTTCGCTGTTGCGCGGGTTGTTGTTTCGGTGGTTGGGGACTGGTGGTTGGATGCGGGGGCGGCGGCGGCGGGGCGGTGTATTTGATGTAGGTGAGTTGTTGGGCTTGTTCGATGGCGGAGGGTTTGGGGTGCGTGAGTAAGGTGCCCCATGTTTCGAGGAGGTCGTCGATGATTTCCTGAAGAGAGGGGAAAGGAGAATTGGTGGGTTAGTTTATTTGACCCGAGTTTGGTGGGAGGGGGGACGGGGGTGGAACGAGCGGGGAAGGGATGAATTTTTCGGCGATGGCTTGGACTGAACAGATCATATCATACAGATATAAAGGGTTCATACATCCTCCTCCGGATTGGTAAGTGATTGTTCAAGGCGGGCGATGATCAATTTGAGCACGCGCATGCGGTAATGCGCGGGGGGCAGCGGCCATAGGGCGGGGTCGGAATGGTTGAACATGCGGTTGTAGAGGGCATGTTGGGTGGTGGGGGTGAGGAGAGTGGCGTTGTCGGGAAGCGAGAGGGAGGGAAGTTCGACTTGTTGGTAGTATTGGGATACGAGACGGTCGAGGGGGGAGGGGGGGGAGGGGGAGGAGGGGGAGGACATGGTGAGAATGAGGTTTAAGTGGGTGGGAGGATGGAGACTCGCTCTAGTAGATTGATTGTAAAGTCTCCGTATAGAAAGTACAGTGTTGATAAGGAACGGATGCTGAGTCAGCGCCCCTTATCAAGCACAGTGGCGCTAGACCCGATGAGGGATGGTTCACCAGGGCAGTGGAACTAACCGGACTAAGACTAGGGTCGTCTAGCCGAGCCCACAGCCAACTTGTGCACAACGAGACCAAAATTGAATCGAACGCCGCATTTCGAAGCCCCGACCCGACTTGACAGCGACTTCGACAAACCCGCGCCCTCCTTAATCTGCCCCCCTTTTGCTTCCTGTCGCACGCAGATTCCTTCGCTGTCAACTTCCAACCATGGCCGACGCTCCCGTTACTCTGCGGACTCGCAAGTTCATCCGCAACCCCCTGCTTGCTCGCAAGCAGATGGTCGTGTAAGAAGCCTTCCCCGAATGCTATTGCCCGGAGGAATGCTCGGAGGGAGGATACAATACCAAGATGAAGATATGGGGAAAGAGATGGGCGAAACATACGACATGACGATTCCAAGGTCGACCGGATGGAAAACACAAGGGAATGTTACGACAAAGTGATGGGGAAGATCTTTGGGAACCCAAAAAATCATGTCCCGGGGGCAATATCACATTCAGTGTGTATATATGCGTGAAGGGCAAAGACAGACAAGAAAACCTTCGACTGGGAATTCATCCGAGAGCACCTCCGGGCAATACGACAAAGAATTTTTGCATGACAACGGCAGACGCTGATATTCTGCACACAGGGATGTCCTCCACCCCAACCGCGCCAACGTCTCCAAGGACGAGCTCCGCGACAAGCTCGCCGACCTGTACAAGGCCAACAAGGACCAGGTCTCCGTCTTCGGTTTCCGTACCCAGTACGGTGGCGGTAAGAGCACTGGTTTCGCTCTCGTCTACGACTCCCAGGAGGCCCTGAAGAAGTTCGAGCCCCACTACCGTCTGGTTCGCATCGGTGCTGCCACCAAGATCGAGAAGCCCAGCAGACAGCAGCGTACGTCTTTCCCTGTGTCTCTTGATTCGCCTGGTGTCTCTTTTCGTTTGTACTCACACCCCCTCCAGGCAAGCAACGGAAGAACCGCTCCAAGAAGTTCCGCGGTACCGAGAAGGTCAAGGGCCCCAAGAAGAACAAGAACTAAGCGGCTCGATTCGGTTGAGAGTTCTCTGCGTTTACGTTTACTGGTGAAAATATGGAAGGGGGAAACAAATAGAGTGGCTCGCTGGCCTCGCGTCTTCGCCTCTCGGGACTCGGAGTCGGATGGATTTATCAGTTCCAGGCGGACGGCGCGGCGGCCACGGGTTGAGCTTGATGACTGGGAGGATCTGGGGTATTCACTTTTTGCGGGAATATCCCCACGGTCTTCTTTGAGCCAACAAACCCTTGGTGGATATGAAGGAACTGGTTGTGTGTGGAGGGCGTTTTACAATTCTTCTTATTTCTCATGGGCGGCCACCGCCAAATCTTCATATCTACAAATATGAAACCATGAATTCGATGACAGGGAACTTGAAATAATCAAATCAGACTTGGAGACCGTTTGAGCTTATTCTGTATGCCCGGGGGGGGGGGGGGGGGGGGAGGAAAAATCAAAACATGGGTGGGATTTCTTTTCCAATACCCAAAAAAGGAGATACAATGGATACTTTTCTTTATTTTTTCTTTTACTTAGCTCGTGCATTATTCCCCCAGATATCCTTTTTGCTGCCTCTCTTATGACACTCCTGAGATTCTTATCAGTTCATGCCTTCCGTGTCCCCTAAACTACCTCAACTACCCCATAAAATTCTTATCGCATCCTTATCGACCGGTTGATTTGATCTGATCCAGCCCGCAGACCCCTAGAGGCATCATGGCCCATGACTTTTCTCTTCCCTTCCCTGACTTTTCTTCACTTTCCAGCCAACCCGGCGTCGTTTTCGGTCCAACCCTGGGCGGTTTATCCAAAGTAGTGACCTTCCTTTCCCACGGAGAGCCTTATTTCCCAGAACTCTTTTCCTTCCTTCCCCGTCTCTGCCCGCTGGTGAACTAGTATGTAACTGCACATAGCTTTCTTTCCTCTCGACCAGAAGTAGTACAGTACAGTATCACTCCGGCTCCCCGGGTCCCGGATAGAGATTCCTCTTTTCCCGGTAGCTCCAATCACCCATTCACCTTTCTCCAAATTATGTTACATTCATTCCAGGAGGGGAGTTGGGAAGGGCCAAGAAACCAATAGAAACAGACAAAAGAGGGACAGACAGACAGACAGACCCTGGACGAGGGTATGAGAGGTCCGAGCTGGAGCGAGGTTACAGGATCGTGTTTCTTTTTTTTTTCCAGCCTGCTTACTTTACTTGCTTACTTCCGTTAAGTCCTTCTAGCCCCATTTCTGAGATCCTCCGGGTGCACAAGGCGAGGGAAAGAGAAGTCGCACCGTTGGGAAAGTTAAAGCACGGGCCTTGGGTGACTTGCTTTGCTTGCGGGATGAGATCCGAGAGGTCGGGGTTAGATCACTTGGAGATGATGGGAAGGATTTATTCTCCAATGGGTGGGGGCTTCTTTTCTTATTTCTTTTCTCTTTGGTTTTTCGGGTGGGGTCGGAAGAGAAGAAGGAAGAAGGAAGAAGGGGAGCTGGGGAGAGAGAGTTTATGGATGGCTATGGTTGTGGTCATGGATCTTCCCCTCTGTAGGTATATACAATATCATATTAAGTAAGGCTGTCGGGGGTCACCAACAGTATGTTAGTACCAGCAGTGTAACCCCCAGTCAGTCTGCTAACTATCAAATAAACTATCACTCACTCACTCACTCACACAAGCTCTCTCTGGGTGGCATGGACAAGTCCTCGGAAATATCAGCAGCAACAACAACAACAACAACAACAACAACAACAACAACAACAACAACAACAACAACAACAACAACAACAAAAACGCGTTACAATAACCAAGTCCCAACTGAGCGAGATCAACATCTACAAGAGACAAGATAGTAGCCACCCTGAAACCATGAGAGAAAAAAAAAACAAAGCAAAGCAAAGCAAAGCAAAGCAAAGCAAAGCAAAGCAAAGACAATCAGCCAAAAGATAGAACGGATGAGCCTCCCCAGTCGTGCCAATCACTGGCAAAAAAAATAAAAATAAAAAAAAACCACAAAACAACAACACCGAGCAAGTCCTGGGAATCACAAATCCAACACAATCCCTAGTATTAGTGTAACATGCCTTTTTTCCCTTCCATTTCAGGGTTTCTTCTTTCGCTCTAGAGAGAAAATAATGTAACAAAGAGCCAGCGCATTGTCTGCGCGAGCTGAAATTACCATGGGGGGAACTGCCACCAACGCTCAGCATTAATTTTACCTTTCCATGTCTAGAATTGATCAGGGGGAGGAGATGATACGCCTCCCTCCATCCTCAAATGAACAGGGACTGGGGGTAACCCAGTATTTGTTGAGTCGAGCCGATCACGTTTGTTTCAGCTCTTGTGTCACGTACCAACAGTCTTGCTTTCGGTTACCGCTCATTCATACTTCCCAGCGGACTTGCGCTTGCCTGCCAGAACAACAACATTGGCCCCTTTTTCGAAGGGTTAGAAATCGCTGGGGTGATGTAGCGGTGGTATCGGCGGTGCATAAATCACTGTATTAGGGCGGCAGACTGGCGTGGTAGTCATCGGTGGCCCATAGAGCCCCGGCCCGGGGCGCGTGTAGGGTAGCCCGTTCATCAGCACTGATGCTGACCCATCTGTCTTGTAAGAGTGCTTGTCCCTCCTTTCGCTGCTGCTGTATACGTAGATGTCAGAGCCGGCGTCGGGAAGATGACTCTGCGCGAGCGTTCTCGTGGCTTGACCACCATCTCCACTTCCCCGAAGATCTTCGCTTGTAGTGGCCGTCTCCAAGCCAGCAAGTAGCCCGGCAGAGGAGGTCAGAATAGGAGGTGCACCCATGGTCGTGAGAAAAGGACTTCCAAAGACCATGTCTTGCGCACTCGTCCTCGTCCGAGAGATGGGACTGCCGCCTAGGGCTTCGTTCGGAAACCGTTGAACTGAGGAAAGAGCATTATTGTTAGAGGCGGTGGCGCTTTTGTAATTCCAACCCACCCCGGCTCGATGATCTACGGTCTCGGGGAGCGTAAGAACTTCGGGCGTCAGTGTAAATCCAGCAGGACACTGTGGAGCCTGACTTCGACTCGTGGGATCAGGAAGCGTCCGATCCACCCCTTGTCCCTCGACGGAGGTAGAGCTCATGGTTGGCACAATCGGGGGGCCATCGGTGATTTGACTTGGAGGACCCGAGAACATGTAGGGATATAGAGGTTGAGACAAGGAACTCCCGCCCTCGTGTTCGCCGAACATGCCTGGGCTAGGGCTCCGGCCAAAGTACACGTTAGGATTCCACGCTTTGGGACTCAATGTGAGCCCACAATACTCCGCCATGACGGTCTGCGGTACCCCAGAGACCATGTACCCCGAAGTCTGAGGGCTGTACATCCCGGGTTCCTCCTCATAGTGAGCGGCGTGGTCAACGCACCCAAACGACTGTCGACCAACGGGCAGCTGCGACTCAGCTGACCCACAGCCATAGCCGGGTGCCCGGGCGTAAGGGTTCACGCGCATAGTCGAAGGGTTCCCTGACGTAGTAGCCATCGTCTTTGGGGGCATTGACTGCACATACGGCCCATGTCGTTGAGAAGGGGACATCGTAGCATTCATCACTGGATATGGCCAGCTCATTCTCGCCTGCACCATCGAAGAATTGACCTGCGTTGAGAGTAAGCTCTGACTATTGCCCCCTAAAGTGTAAACGCTCCCTGGACTCACCCTCAAGAATTGACAATTGGCATTTCCAGAGCTGCGACAGTTGGAGCAGCCCTGCCCATCACCGTTGTCGCCGCTGCATTTGATTTTTCTTTTTCGGCAACGATTACACTGACAACTCGTAAGTCATGACCTTTCCTTCGACAGTGTTGGAGGAGGCTGAGACAAAAAGAGGAAGAACAAGGGAAGCCAAACTTACCGCTACCTGAATGCGGCGGCGTGTCGAGTTTCGACTCTTGCTGTCGATCTCGGGACTGGGACTCTGACAACCAGCTCTATCCACCATGTCCTGGTAGCTATCGCCTCGACTGGTGCGCGTGGGTATCGGTAGAGCATCTCGCTTAGATTGTGAATCAAAGCCAACAACCTCCTCTTCCGGGGAGTATAAAGAGTGAGCCATTACTTCATCCGTCAGCGTGGGCGAAAACATGATGTTTCCCGAATCCGAGACTCACATGTATTCGAGACAAGTTTACGGAAGGGAAAAAGCCTCTCAGAGGGTTACCAAGCAGCATAAAAAGGTCTATAGATCAGGGATTGTTGCAATCAAGACATCCGGTCCATCCCCTGAGTATTGAAAAAGGAACCAGGAAGGGTGAGAGGGCTGTAGCCGGAAGCAAGGCCAGTTTTAAGTCCATGTGTTAGTGGTGTGTATGGATTCTGAATGAGAGCTTGGACCTTCACCTGTTTTTTTTTTTTTTTTTTTTGTTTTTTTTTTTCCCTTTCTTTCGTTTTTATTATCCCTGATGTCTTATTTCATCATTTCGAGAGAGAAAAAAATCGACTGCTGGCAGGCAGTTTTCAGAGAGAACAAAGTCTTTCCCTACCGAAGCCCCTAGAACGAGAAAGGGAATTAGGTCACTTCCTCATTCGAAAGAGGGTGTTCAATTTGATACCTGTTTCTTTGACTGCTGGGCGTACAAATGAGAGCATCATGCAAACAACCGTGCTGCATCTCATTCAGGCAAAGGATTAAAAGGGGGGGGAAAGAACCATAAAAAGAAAGAGGGAAAAACCAAGAACAAAAAGAAAACAGTAGTGATGTGTCCAGAGATTCAGGTCTGGTCTCCATGACACAATGATAGAAGAACAGAGAGACAAAATATCCCGGCATTGTAGGGACCTCAGTGTCACAAAGTCAGAGTAACGTTGCACCAGTTGTAGAAATGGCCTGATAGAAAACCACAGTCAAGCCTATCACTCCAAGCTGGGCAGACTGAGATCTCCAGGGTCGATCTCAGCAAATAGATGCCAACGTGAACTCCACATGTGCTGCTTCCACCACTGGTCCAGGTCTTTGAATGATGATATTTTGTAGCCAGCGATAGGGCCCTGCGTCAGAAGCGACCGGCCAGGACAGCCTCGATGAGCGGACAGCCACCGCCTACGTTTGCATGAGCGCCTCCAGCGCGAATACCAAGCTACCAGTATTGACCGGAAGGCGGAAGGAAGCAACGAACGTGTGGATGTTTGCTCTCTGCTTGAACAATGGTTGATATGCAAAGCTCATTGGCCTGACGCCTGCTATTTTCAAGCATCAAACAAACTCCTCTTGGCGGTCTAGTCTTGACTGGTACTTTTGACATCATATAGTTAACTTATCTCAGCTTAGGTCAGATCGGCAGCGACTAGGTCCACGAGCAGCTTCGGCAGAGAGAGATAGAATCCCGGGGCCAAGAAGAACAAAAGAAGAACTCAACTGATCCAGAGCACGACGCAAATGTACCGCATGAGTTTGCGGATATTACACCGATGTCTCGGAAAGCTTGGCTGCTATGCCTTAGGACGAAGGTTCAGAGCAAAGACTGAGTCCTAAGATCGACTGTGTTCCAGCAACGCGCCAATGTGGCTCAACCGCCAAGCCCGAATAGGTGAGCGGAATCCTGGCATGGCAATATGGAGTGGTTGACTAGCATTAGTAGCGTCAAGCAAAGATCGCCAGCCTAGGTTTGGATCCGGGTCTACGTATCGTGCAAGGCTTAAGACTCCCTGGGTTCTCTTGTTAGAGGGCTGGGAAAGCGTTGAGTGAACCAGAATAACAAAATCTGGCCGTAAGTGATCAAGAAAGCCTTTAAAAAATGGAGGGAGAAAAAACAATATAGTCTGAGAACGAATAAGATGAAGGTAACCAACTCTCGCAACTCGACGAGGGTTGACCTGGACTGTGGGGCAAAAAAAGATCGACTAAGTATGCAGGAAGGTCAGGGGCACGAGCCCGGTGCACATTGTCACTGACTGACATGGCCTTGTCGACATCTGCTTGTGCTCAAACCTGCAGGACTTTCACACAACGATTGGTCCAGATCAAAACCAATTCATTCGCAGCCATTGCGGTAGCTTTGGTGCAGGCAATATGTGGAAAGGAGGTGGTTGAGCTAATGTACTAGTGTCGTCCCTTTTCAACCACGATCGAGATCGGACATAGGAAGTCGATCAACTGAATTGTCAGATGAAGCTCGAGGTGAGTCGACTATGGGTTCCCTGCGGTTTCCGCCCGTAAGATGGGACGCGGCGACAATGGGAGGCACAGGAGAAAGGAGACGGGGAAAAAATAAATAAGAAGCAGCGGTCGAAAGAGGGAGGAGACCATATTACCCTTCTAAACGTCCCAAATATTAAGGAAGGGCGTCATGACCCAAGTGTCTTCCGTTCAATTGAGGGCCATTATCAGTCAGTGGTTGGACCAGAAAGCTGTCATTGGCAATAGGACCAGCCACAAGATACCAAGACCCAGTGAAACTCATTGAATCCATGCTGGTATCTCGATAGTTCCAGGCGTTACGGGGGATCGTCAATATGATGATCATTCTAGGGATAAAGAGATACCATCCATGTCTAGTGAGCACCACGTGTGTTTCCCCATTGAATTAGCTTTGCTGTCATATCTGCAAAAGTGCTGATGGGGTGGGTTGTTGAACTGCTGTTGGACCTAGCTGCAGGAGACCGCCCGTTATTTTCAACGCCCCTGTAGTGAAACTCACAAAGAGTAGAACCAAATAAGTGTGGGAAGGCTTTCACCATGGGGTTCCGACAGTATCTCTGGGTTTTAAGGTAGGTAGGGAGCTTCAAGCTGAAGTCATTTCCAAGGCCCCAGGGCAGATAGACTATGTCCTGGGAGTTGGATGAGACCGGCGGCACATCTACGCCGGGAACAATACTCGTTGTACTGTACTCGAATGAGCTGGGCAAAGGATAAGTTGCCGACAGGTTCGAGCGACCAGATCGCCGGCAAGAAATAAAACAACACACAGTTGCCAGCTGAATCTCGATCCAGGCCTAGCGCAAGCACTATCTCTTACCCCTAAGTTGTTCGTCCAACGGGGTTTCCCGGAAGATATCCGGCTCCAGTTCCAAAGTAACGGCGGTTACACGAGAGGGGCGCCGGAACAACCATCCGATAAGCAAGAACACCTCGAAACTGTCGAAGATGATTGATTCAGCGGCGAATGCTTCTTTCGGGGCTTGTATGACCGCTGGGCATCGAATCGCTGTCAATCGAGTGACTTGTAGGAGTGCGGTTGGTAAAATCAGGAAAGGATGTGAAGAACTTTTTGTGACTGCTGGAAACAGGCAGGCAGTTCCTTCTCCGAGGGTGATGGTTGTTGATCTAGAACAAATTGGTTTAAATCAATCAAGGCCTCAAACAGTCTGATGATAGATCGATAGAAATTATATGGAATAGTGGTGGTAGTGGTGGTAGTGATGGCTGCAGCGGCGGCGGCGGCAGCAGCAGCAGCAGCAACATAAGCAGTTTGAAATAATATAGGAACAGAATAAGAAGGATCAAGAAGCAGCAGTACTATACAGTAACTTAGCTGTAGATAGTACTCCACCACTCCAACAGTTGATTGACTACACAATCCATCAGAAGCGTACATGTATGAGTATGTACAGTAGATAGTCGAACAGCGATCTACGACGGTGGGCCGCCGACGCTCGACTCAAGTAGGAATAGGCTGGGCGGCAGCGTACTAGTAGCGGCTCCGCATCTTAACTTCGTACCTTGCCTGGCTCCAGCTTGCTTCAAATCATCCTCCCTCTTACAAGTAATTCCCGCTCGTCCTTTTGGCAGCTTTCAATTCGACCTTTCCCCCCCCCTCCCAGGCCTACCTGGTTCTCCTCTTCATTCGGATCACTTGCATTTTTTCCCCTTTGATTCTGGTTCTTTTTCACCCTCTTTCTCTGTTTTTGTCTTACGCACCGTCGATCCTCGCGAAATCACCCGCAACTACCGGGGATCCGCCATGAGCGTCCTGCTGGAAACCTCTCTCGGCGACATCGTCATTGATCTGCTGGTCGACGAGTCACCAAAGGCTTGCGAGAAGTATGTGTCCTCTTTTCAGTTCTTTCTGTGTCATCCCTTCATATTGGTACTCTTGTCATGCTCTCCTACGCGCGTACAAGTCGAGTGGCTGAACGAAAACTAAGCTATCTATGGTTTCCCGATGTAGCTTCCTGAAGCTATGCAAAGTCAAGTACTACAATTTTTCGCCCGTCCACAGCGTCCAAAAGAACTTTACCTTTCAAACCGGTGATCCCTTGGGACCTGATTCCCCCGAGAGCGATGGCGGATCCTCGATCTGGGGTTTGTTGCAAGGTCCCTCCCAGCGCACCTTCTCGCTCCCAATCCCTCCTAAGTTGAAACACGACGAGCGAGGCACCGTGAGCATGGCGACTGTCCCTTCCCCCAACGATCCGGACCTACGCATTGCCGGCAGCCAGTTTCTCATAACTCTTGGTGAGGGTCTCGACTACTTAGATGGCAAGGCAGTAATCTTTGGCAAGGTCGTGGAAGGATTCGACGTTCTAGAGAAGGTAAACGAAGCCTTCATCGATGATCGCGGGCGGCCACTCAAGGATATCAGGATTCGTCACACGGTGATTCTCGATGATCCTTTCAATGACCCTCCGGGACTGGTGGAGCCAGCGGAGAGCCCGGTGCCATCCAAGGCACAATTGGCTACGGTGCGGATCGCAGATGACGAGGATCTCGACGACAATATGGATGAGGAGGCATTGGAAAAGCTACGACGGGAGCGTGAGGCCAGAGCGCAGGCATTGACGCTAGAGATGGTAGGCGACCTTCCATTTGCCGAGGTAAAGCCACCAGAGAATGTATTGTTCGTCTGCAAGCTGAACCCAGTCACCCAAGGTACAATCCCATATTCTCTTGTTCATCTCTGCCCTATGCTGTTCAACTCGAGCCAAACTAATACACGATTCCAGATGAGGACCTCAACCTAATTTTCAGTCGCTTCGGCCCAATTCTCTCGTGTGAAGTAATTCGGGACAAGCGAACAGGCGACAGCTTGCAATATGCATTTATCGAATTCGAGAATCAAAAGGACTGTGAACAGGCCTACTTCAAGATGCAGGGTGTTCTAATTGACGACCACCGCATCCATGTTGATTTCTCGCAAAGTGTAAGCAGTACTACCTCGCACCTTTTCGCCGGGCGCTGCTGACCACTCAACACACTAGGTATCAAAACTATCGGAAAGCTGGCGTAACGCAACCATTACCAAGCGCAGTGGTCAGCGGGGTGGATTTGGCGGTGTAGCTGGACTTGAGAAGAAACGCCAGTACCGAGCCGCTGACAACAACAATGCACGTCGCCGTGAGGACTATTCGATGGTCTTCGACAAGAAAGAGTCTGGACGCCCGTCTGCTCCTCGTCGAGACAATTCATACAGCCGAAGTCCTCAGCGGAACGAGCGCCGTGATAGACGAGCTAGTCGAAGTCCCCGGCGAGACTCTTACCGTAGTCGCTACCGAGATCGATCGCACAGCCGGAGTCCAGTACGGAAAGACTCGTATGGCGACCGGCGGTATGAACGTCGTGACGATGATAGGTATCGGGATCGCCGACGCCGATGATCAAGCGATCAAGGAAAGATAAGACAAAGACCTTCATGGCTATGAAATGATGTATACCAACCTAACTTACTATGTACAGTAATCTTGTACACTACCGGCCTTTCTGCCTTCAAGCCTTTCTGGTAATCAAGTCCTTTTGTACAGTACCGAGTGTTTGCCCATTCAGCCAGGCTCGGGAGCTATCATGGAGACGTGCAAGCTTGTTCAAATCAGATATGACCTCTCGTCTGGCTGAATTGGTCATCTTAGAGAACATAGATGCGGTTATCGATTTAGTGAACCTTGAAGTAAGTACGTAAGTAAGTAAGTAGCCTTGGAGGTGAGACCGTAGGTCAGACGGGGCCGGCTCCAGGCAATATTATACGATGGTATGCCCCGCTTCCTACCGCAGATTGGCTGTGTTGTCCAGCTTGGCCCCTCCTCCCTCCGTTTGAGGCCTTTGCATCTTCCGTTTTCCTGACTCTCCAAGACTCCAACCCATAGTTGAGTCTAAAAATAATCAAATGTACTGTACTACTGAGTAAGAATGATCAGTCCCCTGGAACCAGGGGTCTTTCTGGCGGTCAGTGACAGGTTTGGGGGCAACAATTAATCAATCAATCATGGTACGTACCTCCGTAGTTGAAGTAGTACTAATAATAAAAATAATAATAGTTAATAACAGCAATAATGATAAAAACTAAGTCACAATTATTGCTGGTTTCATCCCAGTCTGTTTGTTTGGTTGTTGTACTTAGTTACGTAGGTTTTTCTTAAGAGCCGATCTTCCCCTCCTCCTCTTCCCTGTTCACCCCGCGCTCATAACAGCTTCTTCTCCTTTTCCTCTTCCTTCATTCTTGCTCTCCCCCAGTTCTTCGCTCTTTTTTACTCCTCCTCCCGTCAGTCTATCTTACCTCTGATACCCTTTGATTTCCTTTTGAAGTATCGCTGTTCATCATGGCTGCCGCCGCCATCAAGGAGACCGTCTCCAACCTTTTCCACAGCCAGCCCGAGAACGCTCTTCGGGAGCCATCGCCCGAAGAATTCCAGCAGCTCAGACAGAAGTACATCGATGCCAAACAAGATCACGTTTTCGCCTTCGTCGACGACTTGAAGTCCGCGGAGAAGACCCAGCTTTTTCACCAACTGAGCAATTTCGACCCCAACCGGATCAATGAGTTGGCCGACAAGGCCTTGAACCCTCCAAAGGCCCAGAAAGGTCCTGCCTCCCTGGAACCCCTCCCTGAAGTGGCTACCGCCTCTATCCTGGATTCGGACCCTAGCGACATCCAGAGATGGTATGAGGAAGGACTTCAGTTGACTGCGGACAACAAGGTGGCTGTGGTTTTGATGGCTGGTGGGCAGGGAACGCGCCTGGGTAGCTCCGATCCCAAGGGCTGCTTCGACATCGGCCTTCCGAGCCACAAGTCTCTCTTCCAGATTCAGGCGGAGCGCATCGTCAAGTTGCAGCTTTTGGCCAAGAAGGTTACCGGGAAGGACGCTGCCATCCCATGGTATGTGATGACCAGTGGTCCTACTCGCAAACCAACAGAGGAATTCTTCCGCAAGCACAACTATTTCGGATTGGACAAGAGCAATGTGGTCATTTTTGAGCAGGGCGTCTTGCCTTGTATCTCCAACGAAGGCAAGATCCTGATGGAAAGCAAATCCAAGGTACGTTGAGTTGGATTGTCTTCGACCGCTAGGGATCTTGGGTTCTGACCACTCTTATATAGGCAGCCGTGGCTCCCGATGGCAACGGTGGTATTTATCTGGCCCTTATCACCTCCGGCGTCAGAGAGGATATGCGCAAGCGTGGAATCGAGCACATTCACACATACTGTGTCGATAACTGTCTCGTCAAGGTTGCTGACCCCGTTTTCATCGGTTTCGCCGCCTCGAAGAACGTTGATATCGCTACCAAGGTAGTCCGGAAGCGCAATGCTACTGAGTCCGTGGGCTTGATTCTCCAGAAGAATGGCAAGCCCGACGTCGTGGAGTACTCCGAGATCGATAAGGAGACAGCCGAGGCCAAAGACCCTAAGCAACCCGACGTGCTCAAGTTCCGTGCGGCAAATATTGTCAACCACTACTACTCGTTCCGTTTCTTTGAATCGATTGAGACATGGAGTCACAAGCTGCCTCACCACGTGGCCCGCAAGAAGATTCCCTGCATCAACACCGAGACTGGCGAGTTCTTCAAGCCGGAAAAGCCCAACGGCGTCAAGCTCGAGCAATTTGTCTTTGACGTCTTCCCCATGACGCCACTGGAGAAGTTTGCATGCATCGAAGTGCGCCGCGAGGACGAGTTCTCGCCACTGAAGAACGCTCGGGGCACCGGCGAGGATGACCCCGACACCAGCAAGGCGGACATCATGAACCAGGGACAGCGTTGGATTGAGAAGGCGGGTGGTGTTGTCGTCACTGAGGGTGAAGCCGTTGGTGTTGAAGTCTCCCCACTGATCAGCTACGTAAGTATACCCCCTCTGGTCCGCATTCCGCGCCATGACACAATGGAGACTAAGTCAACTGGTTATTAGGGCGGTGAGGGGCTGGAATTCCTCAGAGGCCGTGAGATCAAGGCCCCGGCGGTCATTGAGAAGGAGGAGTGAACTCGCCCACACAAACTATCATAAGCATCGACCAGCTGGGATGGATTAAAGTGCATGTATGGACATATTCAAGTATTGGCACTGCAGCTTAACTGCGGCAAAAAATTCGGGATTATATTGAAGTTGAGGAGCATGCTTGTCCGTTTACAATGTGTGATAGTGTGCTGCTGTATGCACATGGCAGATCAATAATACAGGAAAAAACCACGGAACGTTGCTCAGCTGGGGGCATGGTTAGCCACCCACAAGCCTTGATTGTATAGCTCTATCTTTGGGTTCCAGTGGCTAGATACACCACCTCTAGTATACCAGCTCATGAAATGGGACCTTACAGCTTCAGCCCCTGGGGAGCTTTAAGGGCACTGCGTCGCCCAGTCCGTCTGGCTGTACGGAGTAAGGTAGATGCTGGTTCGATCAAGAATTGACCAAATGCCGGAATGAAGGAAACACAATGACAATACTGTACTGAATACACCCGCAGTACATCAGCACGATACAATTGTTCTGACGGACCCGACAACAGGCCCGGGGCCCGGGGCCGGCACCTGGCATTGCCCCCTTCGGCCCTTCCACCGGTGCTAATCCGGGGAGGATCCAACCTTTCGGCCAAAACCTTGCACTGATAACTTACGGAAAAGCCCGGGAGCTAACTTGGATCTGGGACTGGCACTGGAACCTATAGTCTTCTGATATATAAATTACTGTTCGTAACAACTTTGTAACCATACATCACAAAATCGGTCTCGTTCTGTTTCTTTGCTTACTTAACTCAATCGCTCAGACTTTTGAATGGTACTCTGGAATTCCGTCAATTTTCTACCTTGTACTCATATCTCTGCTGTTCAAGCTTGTATATTGTTAACCTAGATTACTAGAATTCAACAGGATTTTTCATCATATCTCTTCCTAGTCTCCTAGTCTATCATCTCATTCAGCGCATCTCATGCTCGGTTAGTGTTACTGTTCCAATTTTCCGTTCCGTTACAATTTTTCACCTGCTTGGTCTTATGTCAGCCCACTCTGTCAAGGAGCAGGCCGTCAAAAGTGTAGATTTCTCCAAGCTTCTCGAGCTAACGACTCTATCAGGCCTTCTGCCAAAGATTGGAAGGGTGTCTCACTGGTCTTCTTTTGCTCATAATCTAGGAAAGAGTGAGTGTTCTCTTTCGTCTCCCTCATCGTGCTGCATTCCCGATGGCCGCATTGCGCGACGATTCTTGCAAGTTTCTTTCGCCGCTGTCCCCGATTTTTGCTCCCGTCCACGATCTGCCTACATTCAATTCTCCACGATGCGCTTGAGAGGAACAATTGCATGCGAGTCATATGCAGCAATGTGGCGGAGCTCTGATAACTTCCACTGTTGTTGCCCAAGTCCTCGGGGGGGGGGGAAAGTTGCATGGCCCCAAATCTTTCCAATGCAACCACCGGCGCCCAGCTCAACAAATACTGCAAGCACACTTTATTGAATTCGGAACCGCTGACGGCGATGACTATAATCACACATAGGCTCGTTCCATTCTTCAGCAATGTTGTTGTATCGCCGAGCCTGCTACAAGTGTGGCAACCTTGGCCACTTTGCTGGTTAGTTGATGGTTCAAAAAACTGCTTGTAGCCCAGGCCAAAAATCGCTAATTGACTGGTGTAGAGGTCTGCTCTTCGTCTGAGCGTCTCTGCTACAACTGTGGGTGGAATCTAATGACCTAATTTAAGCCGCTGTATTCAATCGCTAATCACCCTCTCATATCACAGGCAAGCAGCCCGGTACGTCTCTTGCGATGCATGTCACATACGCACCCAGAACATATCTAACCCGCCAACAGGACATGAGTCCAGCAGCTGCCCGCTTCCCCGTACCACGGAGAGTAAGAGTGCCTCAAGATATCTCGTTCTTTACGATGAGGATTCTGATATACGGTCTTTTAGCCAAGCAGTGCTACAACTGCCAGGGGGTAGGCCACGTTCAGGCTGATTGCCCTTCGCTTCGCATTAACGGTGCCACCGGCCGCTGCTACAACTGCGGCCAGGCCGGCCATCTCGCTGTATGTCGACGGTCCACCCGAACACAATCGTTTTAAAAGTAAAATCATTGATCATTTCCTAGCGCAAATGTCCCATTCCTGCTACGGGTGCTCCTCGGGCCCCTGCTGGCCCCCGGGGTGCCTTCAACCCCGGCTTCCGTGGCGGATATTCTCGTCCTGCCACCTGCTACAAGTGCGGTGGCCCCAACCACTTTGCTCGTGATTGCCAGGCTCAGGCCATGAAGTGCTACGCCTGCGGCAAGCTGGTATGGCTTCCAATCGCCAACCTCCTATCCCTCCCAATCATCCTGACTAACGGTTTTCAGGGCCACATTTCTCGCGACTGCACTGCTCCCAACGGTGGCCCCTTGAGCTCTGCCGGCAAGGTTTGCTACAATTGCTCCCAGGCCGGCCACATCTCTCGCGATTGCCCCAACGGTGATGTCCCGAAGCCTATCAATGCGACTACTGCTGCCCCTGCCGCGCCTGTCCCTGCCGCCGGTGGTGAGGCCAGCCAGGAGGTCGCCGCTGTTGCGCCTCCAGCTCCCGCCGCTGTTGCCTTGCCTCAATAAACCTCCACGATTGTTCATTCCCAGTCATTGGGAGCCATTCCCATTCTTTCTTTTTGTATTAGGGCTAGCCGACATTGGTCTCGATTTTATTCCACGTTTCTTCCTTTGCACATATTGCGGCCTCCCACCATTACAACTCTTGGTACCGACTGATTTCAATCTCCGTTATGTATACGACGAACAACAAAAGTTTCACGAAGTCTTGGTTTTCCTTACTGCTTGGGTCCTAAACACTGCTCAGGGACTTATGGGTGGCGTCTATTGATCACCTCGGGTATCTTTCTCATTTACACAAATCAGGTGCGGCAAGAAAAGAAGGAGACGAGGCCAGGCGAGGCGACGGGTTGATCGAGCGCAGAACAGACAAATGGTGGACCGCATAGGAACAGGCTATAAGAAGGGGTGGCTGGAATTATTGTGTATGGGTGTGTATTTGCTGAAGATGTGTGAGTGGTGAAAAGACTTGCCTGGCGCTGTGGTAACCTACTCATCTTTTCCTACTCATATACGTCGATTGGGAAGCGAAACAAAAATACAAAAACGAAGAAACACCACTGAAAGTAATTTTCTCATAGGCGTACTCTGATTTTGGGTTTGGTTTGCGTTGTGTGGTGGGTGCTCGATCAGTACCAGTTCTGTGCTGCTGCGCCTGCTGGATACTACAATGTACATATAGTACTGTTGTTACCTCCCACCCACTCCATGGTTTCGACAACCCCTTCTACGATCTGACACCATAATCTCTATTCATCGTCGGCATATAGTCTAGACAAGAATCATGCCAGGCTCTGACACAAGTGACGAGTTCGATAACGATGTAGATCCCCTGCTCATACTCTCATTTCGCTTGATCTTTTGGAAACCCTGTCTGCCAAAAGCTGAACTACTTTTCTTCCATGACAGGCCTTCATCGTCGATATTGATTCAATCCAATCTCACGGTATTCCTTCGGCATCTCTTTGACTGCTTTCCTCATTCTTTCCCTACTTCAATTAGCTCATTAGCAAATAGGGATTGGAGTTGCAGATATCAACAAGCTCAAGGCGAATGGTTACTTCACAGTTACAGTATGCCATCGTGTCCAACCGCTCCTTCTTTTGACCACCTGCTCACCTGTTGACTTTCTCTGCAGTCCGTTCATAGCGCCACGCGGAGAACATTGCTAAAGATTCGCGGCTTCAGTGAAGTCAAGGTCGAGAAGATCAAGGATGCTATTCAGAAATGCCTGGTGGGTGCTTGAGTTCCCCGATATGTCCTCCGAGGAGTGAGTCTCATAGCCCGGAATCAGCCCTCGGCCTCTGGTTTCATGACAGCGATGGAGCTGAGCCACCAGCGCAAAAAAGTTGTACGCATCTCAACAGGGAGCAAACAGTTCGACTCCATCTTAGGAGGGTGAGGTTCTGTTACCTTACAACATGCACCAGTGAAGTATCCTAATCATCATGGTCCTCGCAGAGGCTTTCAAAGCATGAGCATCAGCGAGGTGTATGGTGAGTTCCGCTGCGGCAAGACCCAACTCTCGCATACCATGTCCGTGATTGCCCAGCTCCCAAAGGAAATGGGCGGGGCCGATGGCAAAGTGGCGTATATCGATACAGAAGGCACTTTCAGACCCGAGCGCATTGCTCAGATCGCCGAACGCTTTGGGGTTGACCCAGACTCCACGCAGGAGAACATCGCTTACGCTCGAGCCCTTAACAGCGAGCATCAGCTAGAGCTATTGAATACCCTGAGTCGCGAGTTTGCCTCCGGGGAGTATCGGCTGCTGATAATTGACAGCATCATGAACTGCTTCCGCGTCGACTACTGTGGACGTGGGGAACTTGCAGAGCGTCAGCAGAAATTAAATCAATTCCTGATGAGACTTGCCCACATGGCTGAAGGTATAGTGCTACATATATGCAACCCTTACATGAGATACGTCGCAAGACTAACTATATCTGAATGTGCAGAGTTCAACGTCTGCGTCCTGATGGTTTGTTGTCGTTCTTCTAACCCTTTACTATATGTACGGACCCATTCTCATCGAGGCGCAGACAAATCAGGTTCAAAGTGACCCTGGCGCCAGCGCTCTTTTTGCCGGGGCCGATGGCCGTAAGCCGGTTGGTGGGCATGTCCTTGCGCATGCATCTACAACCCGAGTGCTACTTCGAAAGGGGCGTGGCGAGGAGCGAGTGGCCAAGATCCAAGATTCGCCGGGTTTGCTAAGTTACTCTCATCGAACATGAACTCTGTCTAATTCTTTTCAGATTGTCCTGAGCGAGAGGCAACTTATCTGATTACCAACGGCGGAATCAATGATCCAGACAAGGTGTAGTGGATGAGATATGTATATCCTCAGGACATAACATGACAGGGTGCGTTATGTCGGATGTATCGCGATTGATCACTATCGATGGCTGTAATTCTGCATCATGGCAAGTTTCATTTCCTTCGAGATGATATTTACATGTACTGTACGAATATGTGCGTATTTCGTGTTTAGTTGTCAATTGACCTGAGCTCTCTTCCTTTCGGACGTTTCTGCTTGTCGGGGTAACTTACCCTTACCCTCTCTCCGCCTTCCAAACTGCCGGTGCAAAATATTCTCCCCGCCCAAATCGAGAAAAAAAAGTTACCCCGATTGAAATTCGCCTTCTTTGGCTGCGCAGCCATCCCAATCTCCTGCTTCTGCTCGCATATTTTGCATCAAACAGTCGTGTGGTTTTTGTTTCAAGTTAGGATCTCGGATTGCTACGATGAAGAAAGACCTTGAGGTGGCGGGTTACGCCGTGCTGCCCCTGCAGTTCCCCAAGACCTCCTCTGCAAAGGCTGCGACGCATTACATGTATCTCCGAGCCCACGAGCCTCGCATTCCGGACGAAGATACCCCTCGCTCGATGTTTATCGTCAATGTGCCCATTGACACGACCGAGACTCACTTGCGCCACCTCTTCGGTACCCAGCTCGCGGCCGGCCGAGTTGAGCGCGTCCACTTCGAATCCGTCCCCACGAAGAAGAATCAGGCCGCGCTTCCGCAGGCAAATGTCGGCGGGGGCGGCAGCAAGGCCAAGAAACGGAAGCGCGTCACCGCCGATGAGCTGGAGTCTCAGCTGGAGGAAATCGCACTCCCCGCGGTCTGGGACCGGCCGCTCCAGAAGAGCGGAGCGCACGCCGTCGTGGTTTTTGTGGACCAGCCCAGCATGGAGGCCAGTCTGAAGGCTGCTCGGAAGGCCGCGCGCAAGGCGGTCAGTGGCAGCAAGAAAATTGTTTGGGGGGAAGGGCTTGACGAGGACCGTGTGCCGGCTCTCGGGCTGGAGCGGTATCTCTTCCACTCACAGGCTCGGTACCCCAGCCGCGGAGAACTGCTCCGCACGGTCAATGATTTCATGACGGTGTTCGAGCAGGTGGCCGAGAGCCGGAAGCGCGAGGCGGCGCGCAAGGCCCAGGAGCCGGACGAGGATGGCTTCGTGACGGTCACGAGTGGACCCAAGCTGGCGGACGCGACCCACGAGGATGAGGCGCGGGAGTTGATCGAGAAGCAGAAGAAGAAGCAGGAGGGCCTGGATGACTTCTACCGCTTCCAGTCCCGAGAGAAGCGGAAGGAGAGGCAACATGAGCTGTTGCGGAAGTTCGATGAAGATAAGAAGAAGCTGGCGGATCTGAAGAGGAGAAAGGGGAAATTCGCGGTGAGTTTGGTTTGCGTTTGCTCTTCTGGGGCCCTCGTTTGATTTCAAGAAGCTAACGAACGCATTTCCATGTGCCTTCTCTGCAGCCCGAGTGATTTTGTCTCTCGGCCGGGATTTTCTACAAATAAATTATTCCACACATCGTCTTGGTTTAGCGCGGCGTTAGGGAAGGGATCATGCCAAAAGTCGAGTCTTTCAGGTCGATAGAATACTGTGTTTTGAGGCAGAGGTAAATATCTCCAGCGATGTGAGTGCTACGTTTGTGTTTTACGCCCCAACACCTAACCTATTTGTTTTCCCGTACTTTGTATGCATATGATGAATCCGCTGGGGCCAGAGTAGCAAGACTCAGCTAGCGGCTCGATGTCCTGCCATGCCTTCAGAAACCAGCATTACTCAATCTTCTCACCTTCCTGAAGCCAGAGTATGGGACTAGACGTTGTGGAGATTCATGGGTCTTTTCTGGAACATGTGCTAATTGACTTCTGGGGTACAGAGACGTAACGAAAGTCGGACCAGCACCGGCGATCGCTTGGATCAATCTATACTTTTCCATACGAACAGGCTTATGTCGCGAATTCTGTAGACTTTCGATGGTTGGAATCTCGAGACCCATTCTAACCGCCAACTGCCTTGCCAAAAGTCTCCAATTTATGGACTTGCATGGTCAGAGGCGTCAATGTTGTTTCCTGCAGAATCAAGGGGATATTTTCTGAACAGGCAATAGGTTTAGGACAGGAAGCAGTCACACCAGGAAACACTGGGTACTTTTGAGATATGCTGTTTTAAGTAGCAAACTACTTAGAAGACAAATAGAACCGAGCCTTGAAAGAGCTAACGTTATCTGTCAAGCTACCGTAGGTGGCACCACCTCCACAGCCGCTACCATTACTCCGTAGTAGTTAGTACTTAACAAACTACTTAATAGCTTAAGTGCGACCATCACCTCGTGAATGCGGATCGCCTCCCATTGAATCCCTTCGATAAAATTCCTTTGTTCTTGAGACGTCGCCGCAGGGTTCAAGCCACCGAGAACCCGCTATACCGCATTGAGTAGTTCGACGTCACGCAAGATAGTTAGCAGATAGCTCGGCGGTACGGAGTACAACCACCATCCACTTCTGATCTTCTCTGCTTCGTACGAGTAGCTCGCGGCAAGAAGCCAGGACACCTCCTTAAGTTTAATCAAAGAACCTAACAATAAAAGAATTGTCTACATGGCTGCACTATCACCAGCGACCATGCCCCGTGGACAAGACGCCGGCGACATGGGAGGAGGGGGAGGAGGGGGAGGAGGGGGAGGCTTCATCCCACCATCAGCACATCTTCCATCTTCGACACCCACCACATCCTCCGCAACCCCATCGCTTCTCCCCAAACCACGAGCCCACCCTTTGCGGCCGGGTTCCGCAAAAGAAGCCACGGTCCTCGAGTATATCGACAAGAAGCTTCTGTCCATCAACCGCCGGCATGCTAAGAAGTTCAGCGCGGCTCTGATTGGTGATAGCAACAACAGCAGCAACAGCAACAGCAATGGCAGCAACAGCCAGCGCATAGCACCGGTGGCTGAGTCGGAAAGGGGCTACGAGAGCTTTAAGGAAGTAGCGAAAGACTTTGAGAGTTTGGTGGATGTTTTGTGGGTCAGTGGGACTCGTATGTTTTCCCCTTCCGCTCTCTTTCTTTTTCTTCTGGGTTGCAAACAACAGTGAATGAAAAGACGTCGTTGTCTCATATTGGCTGGCTGATGGACATGTGTTGGTGCTTTTCTATTTGGCAGCTTCATTACAGATACCCTACCTGATCTCGTTGGCCGTCCAGGTCAACTCTTATCTACCGGATTATCCATTCTCGGCGAAGGCGACGTTCCGGTTGCTGCGGAAGCTGGACTCCGTCTTTGCATCGCTCCTGTTGGGGGAGGATGTGGACTCCGGGGCGCCGTTGCCGGGGTTTGAGGCACGGACGAACGTAGTCTCGATGACGGAGAAGGTGCGTATCAAGAGTATTGCGGAGACCTGTCGGGTTGTGGTTGTGGAGGCGAGGGAGCAGGAGGATCTTGCCGATGATGATGATGATGATGATGATGATGGTGGTGGTGGTGGTGGTGGTGGTGAGAGGAATGGGTTTGGGGATAGTAGTGAGAACGATGACGAGGATGAGTTGATGGATGATGCGTTGGGGATGGATGGGTATCCGATCCCCGGTAGGTGGGAGATGGAAACGGCCAAGGTGTATGAGAAGACGATCCAATTGCTTGGGGATGAGTTGGGGCAGGCCGATCCTGGGGAGTTCTGCGATACTGATATGGCTGCTGGGGAGAAAGCCGGCCAATGCGATGGGTTGTTGGATGCGGAGGCAGATTGATTGGAACTTGATGCTTTTCATAGGGTCCTCAAGACATTTATCTACTCGTTAGTGTTTCTACTTTGAATGATACCCGGATTGACTTGATTGACCAGACGGATATTGGGATGTGAACAGCTAGCTATGTCTGGATTGTGCTGCTTCAATGCAGCAGCACAATAGGAAGACTTGGCCTTGGCGCATGCCTGGTAAGCCTCAGATAATAGCTTGGAGCTAGAATCTGCTGAACGTGTCCTGTCGTGTCGTGTCGAACACGTCCCAGATTTTCTAACCCTGACACGACACGTATAGATTGTCCTTGTCGGCTGTCGGGGGTTCCGACTGCGCTGCATATCAGCAGCACCCTAGTAGTCTACTGATCATGACCTGCCGGTCCCTGGTACTGCTTGAACTACTGGCATTGAGAATTACGAAATCCTCTTAGATCGGTTTCAACCCATGGTTCCTGCAATTCCCATTCCAGAGAACTACAATGGAGAATTGAGGACAGAGGAGTTCGTGCTGCGAGACAATGAAACGATTTTCTTTTCTCAAGATCACTCACTGTCTGGTGAATGGAAATCCGGCTACGGAAAGCATAGCAGTAAGTCCAGTCCAACTTGAAACACTATATTTTATACTAGATAGATCTGGTCTACTCATAGCCTGGAGCATTGGTGTAGTCAGTAAATCCGAGTATCTCCCGACGGGGTAATGGGAGTGGTTGGGTTGACTTTGAACTCTCCAGGGAGGGAAGTTATCTGCAAGGGACCGAGTGCTGACCCAGGCATGATCGTGTAACCCTCCCCCCCCTCCAGAGGGAAGCACGCACAGCTTGGACCGGAGCACAGTCGCACCACTCGATTCGGGCTTAGTTGTGCTGCAATCCTCGCATGGCAAATCCTCGATCGGGTCAATATGAATGAGGGGCGTGAGCGTACCAATAAGAGCAGCCTTGCGCTTCCTCGTTGATTACCGAGTACTATGTATAATGATAAGTACTTATTATGATGAGCGTTGGGTGCATGGCCTGTATGTATGTAGTACAGTACTGTACTGTGCAGAGTAACATAGTACGATGCACCCTTGCTCATGCCAGAGTGTGTGGATGGGAGGGAGATAGAGAGGAGGATAACGTTAGATCATGGGCAAGTTGTACTCCGATGTGCCAGAGGAAACTCGCACTCTGTGATAAGAGTGATCGCGTCGCGTCCGCGTCTGCATTCCGATAGGAAAAGGAATACTCACCGTTCGTCGGTAAATCGAAACAGGGAGAGTCAATTCGCATGCTACGGTCTTGTTTTAGATGTCAAAAGAGGTACGAGTATACATACTTTTTGTGGATGAAACACACGGAAGCTAAATACTCAGATAGTTAGATATCTTGAGACACTTCGTGTTGGATGGGTGTTAGGCGCAGTGCAAGGGCAGGTTACGGTAAGTTTAGGTAACTTACTAGGCAGTCTACTCTACTAGGTATGCCGTGGACTCCTAGGCTTCAGGCTTAGAACTAGATTGATTACATACAGCAGTGGCCAATGAGAGCCTCATGGAGGCAGTTTCCACGGTCCGGGCACTGAATGGTGTGGAGTCTGCCTCATTTTGACTACGGTAATTACTGGCTTAGTATTATTCTAGTTGGAGTAGTGAACAAGTACGAGAATGTACTCCAGGTTGTACATATGAGTATATGCTCAGCAGAGTACATACTATTGATTGTTATCATGTCTAGCTATACTGGTCTCTTCGAAGCTACCAGAGCCATTTTCTGTAACCACACGTGTGGCTCAAGTACTCCGTACAATTTAGATTAATCCTTTGTATGTATCATTTATCATCGAATATCCCGATCCTGCTGCATGGACCAACTGACGGCCTCGACTGACCTGTGTCTTTCCAGCGGTACTTAGTCAGATTCTGCACTAATTATTGTTAGTTAGTTAAGTACTCATATCAATACCTCTTCAAGTGATAATGTTTGTATTACATGTACCCTACCACCAAACATTAAGTTTAAACCTAATCAGACGTGCTCATTCAGTAAGGCACTGGCCTGAGTAGCTAATCCCCTCAACTGGGATCTCGACAAGACTATTTGTATCTCGGTGGGCAGCGTGCTAGACTCCAGAGTCTAGTCTACTAGCCAGCGCCCCCGTGTTAGGCCGCAGGAACCATCCACAACCACATGGTTTTTGTACTTCTCGAATGTGCTTCAGTGGTGACTAACCCTCTCTGAAAGTTTTCGTCATCTGGATTGAGCATTAGCAGCTCTCGAATCCATGGACTGGGGCCGCACTGGTGGGGGCGAGGATTTTTTTCGCCCTTTCATTTGCACCCTCCCACCGGGCAGTCCGGGCGCTTTCGCTTCCACTTTTGTCTCTTCTGTTCTTCTTTTGTTTCAACATGATCACGATAGCCATACCATGTGTTCATCTGTTTCCCTTTGTATATGTGTAGGTAAGTTATTTCAATGATTAGTGGGCATCTTTTCCAGCCCCGTCGGCTTCATCCAGCCTTCCGGCTCCCGGGGTGTGGACAAGTAAGAACTAGTCTAGGGCACAGCTTCAGGGCTGATCCCAAGGAACAAATGGTGGGATTTAGGCTGCAAGCGGAAACCGATCTACGAATGACAGAGTACCTCAGGCATCCGCCAGGCCAAGCGGAGAATGAAATAAAACCCATGACGATAAGGGCCCATGGGACGCGAATGGGACCGGGCGAGTCATAGCGCGTTGCCGAAAAAAAAAATCCCAAAAAGAAAAAAATCCCAAATAAATCAAGCAAAACGAAAGGAGGAAGGAAAAGACCTCGGGCAGTCTCAGCTTGGGTGGGTTATCCACCGAGTATGCATCATTCAAGTCAGGTCCTTGCAGATTTCCATACAGCTTTGCTCGGCCATTTGCCCTCATTACATGTAATGTCTTCTGGTACTCCGTACTCTCTCTCTTGTTCTGATATCTTGCCAGAAGAATTACTATGCAAGTGCAATCAGTTATCTGCTTGCCTGCCCCTTGACTCCTTATCCAAGTCCTCCAGGTCTTGTACAGTACGTATGAGTATGCACATATCAAGGAAATCGGACCCAGCCACCGTCTGCTCCCCACCTCTTCTCTCTCTCTCTCTCTCCTTGCGCCAGGATCATGCTACATACACATCGTGAGCAGATGCTCGAGGAGGACTAAGTCCGTGATGCAACACCACCATTATCTGTGAGAGGTGCCAATCGTCATTAAATACTCGACCTGCTCATCTACTGCTGGTGATTCTACACAATCGGGGATCCTCTCAAGAAAACAGGTATTGGCACCTTCAAGCTATCGTTATTTCGTTTCCTACTTCACTTAGCGACCATGGACCGCCCTGAGTTGTCAATGATATACAGGAAAGCGATTGTATCATCCAGCACACTCTCCCTACCACCTGGGGGACATGAGAACGGGGGACAATAGGGTCGCGTGCGATAGAAATAAGAATCATGTCAAGTTGCAAGCCTGCAGGATGCAGCAGTCATCTGGTTCGAGGGCGATTCGGTTGGGCTGGGTCCGATGGTCGACGTAGGTATCCACCACCACCTCTCAATACCCGTATGTATAGTCCAGGTACGTATGGTCTTTCCAAGAGCCTTGATCTCACTAGTCGAGGGCCCACACAGACAGCCTGGATTCATCATGACAAAACGGAGGATGCTTTAATTTCTTCGATTGAGAAGCTGCTATGGAAATGATCATAGCGAGGGACAATTCGATATGAGGAAAGCTCCAGTTCTCGAATACTCAGAAAGACTGCAGGGTAAATTACATCCACGATAGTGCTCATGTATTGTACTGTGCAAATTGATGAGCCTCAAACTAAGCACGATTGGAGGTGGAACAAGCTAAATCATACATCCTGTAAGGTTGTACACCCGGCATACAAGAAACAGTCATTGCATAAAGATACCTAAGTTAATACTGTACTACGGAGACTTGTGTACGGAGTACCGATGTATGTAAGTTAGGTGTACAGTACCTACAATACTAGACGACTTATCACTAGATCCTCCTGGGTTGCGGTAAGGCCACACGATCCCACCTGCACGTCGAAATCCAGATCTACACCCACCCAATGCACACTCACAGCTGCTGAGCCGGTCATAGGGTTGGTTCAACCAGGATTGTCTACCCAACAAAGAAGAGCAAAATGGAGGAGAAAATTTTGGTAGAAACACGACTACTATTCCAGTAGTAGTCGGCAAACTTTCGTCCCACCCAGCTGGCAGGTACAGACAGAACTGTAGACTGCTGCGCCCCTCCTCACTTCTTCCCTTCTGCGGCTGCTGGTGCTTGTTGCTTGTTGCTTGTTACCCACTGAGTAGTTTGCTTGCAACAACAGCACTGCTGCTGCTGCTGCTGCAATTGATGACATAAGAGCCTGGAGTTGAGTACGCCTTGCCCTCAAGCAGTCAGCACCTATGATTATTCATTCTTAACTTCTAGCCGTTTGTCCTATTTAGGATCCATTGAATTGGAATTTTTTTATTGGTATTATTATATTATTATTATTACTACGGAGTACTTTGATTTTTATTTGAATTTTTTTTCCCTTTTCTTGGACCCAGGTTTGATTTTCCCCAAAGAATTAATTAGTTCGTTTGTTCGTCTAACGAGTTTCTCTGCTTCTCCCGTCCTTGGTCTGCCCTAGCAAAGTAGTAGCCTCTTGCCCATTCTTCCTCGTTTCCTTTCCCTTTCTTTTCCTTTCTCTCCCCTCCATCGGATCCTCTGAAGAAATATCTTTTCTTCCTACCCCTCTTCTTTCTTCGTTCCTCGTTCCTCTTTCCTCTTTCCTCTTTCCTCTCTTCTCACCTCCCCTCCCTCCACCCCATTTTTGTCCTCCCTGTTCTCTTCTTGAGTTCTTCCACCCTTCCCTTGTGTGCTTTTCGGAAAACACGGAGTCGGTTTCGCGGATAGTTCTGTGTCTTTTCCCTCTCTTAACTATTTCTCTTTGGATTTGCTTCCTATTATCTCTCCACCTCGCCGGAGTTATCTCGCTTGTCCAGTTCCTGGTTTCTCTGTGACGTCCCTGTCTTCACGCATATTCGCGCCACGCCAAAGCAACGCATCTCTCGTCTCTAAGCCAATACATACGTTGCGATTTTTGACATTGCCTGGTAAGTAGAGTATATCTTATGATATTAAACTCTTCTTTCGTTTTTGTTTTTTTTTTTGCTCTTATGTTTTTTTGCCTGTTCTATCCTCTCTTGGCTTGAGTCATCACGTTTTCATTTTCTGCCCATCGATGGTGCTTGCGCGGGAACAATTCGGCCATACCGGTTATCAAATGTCCCTCTACGATCAACATCACATCAAGCGCCTTCAACATGGTTGTCGATCAATCAGCAGCCTGCTCGCGGACATCTGGGGCACAAATATGGAGGCAGAACCTTTGCCGAGTTGACTTCCCGATGATGCACCACGCGCCCGCGGCTTCTCATCGCTACGGTCGCTCGGCCGACGGACTTGAACGGTCGCTCGAATGACTCTGTCTACGCTGAAGATCGCTACTTCTCCATTGTCGCCATTGACCGGCTTGGTTCGAT